TATCCACTTGTAACTTATTGCTTGTTATTACTGCCATGGCAGGATTTTTTTATATACTGTTGTCTTTATCATTATATATAATAGCTTGAAATTTTAAAAAACATTTTAATCTAACACATTAATTTTAAGTAATAGTATTTTCTGCTTTAAAACAATCCATTTTCTCTGTTGTGTTTGCTAATAAATGCTCAGGGAGTTCTGGTGGCCTAGTCCATAGGGACTTGTGCCATTAACCCAAAGGTGGTGCCTCCCTACCAGCAACTCCAAGGGAGAAAGACGGACAGTGTCCTCCAGTGCAATTTACGGCCTCTCAAAAATCCATTGGAGGCCCAGCATGGAGTTGGTTCCAACTTGATGGGAATGCATTTAAGTGTTTTGAGAATAAGTACATTAGAATAAAATATATTTTGTGAATGGTATTATCATTAGTAGTTAATAGTGTCTTTTATACTTTTACATTTCAGTATCAGAACTAAGGAAAAAGACTAGCAATGGCTGTGGAAGAACTTCAGTCCATAATAAAGAGATGCGTAAGTGATTTGTTTTCTTTTTAAATACATCTGAAGTCTTTCAAATAGTTAATCTTTAATTTCTTCAAATGATATTTTTATCTAAATAGCTATTTAAATTTTAATATTGATACTTTTCATAGTGTGGTTTCTTTTTTCTTTTTTTTTTTTTAAGTGGATTTTAAGATGTTCATTTAAAATATTAGGATCATCCTAATTTTCATGTGTGTAATATACAGCTTATAATTCAAACAAATTTCTCTTTCTTTTACAGAGACAAAATAAATAATTATTAACTTTATTTGTGTGGATTTTGTTTGTTTGTTTTATTTTGTCTTTACCAGCAAATCCTAGAAGAAGAAGACTTTAAAGAAGAAGATTTTGGCCTATTTCAGTTAGCAGGTCGAAGGTGCATAGATGAAGGGCACATAGATCAACTACTGGAAATTATTCAAAATGAAAAGAATAAGGTAAGTGCTATCTTTATACTTATAATTTTTACTGGGAAGAGGAAAAAAAACACATGATGTTATTATTCATCCAATTAATTTATCAAACTGTAGAATTGTTTCTGACTCACAGCTGACCCTCCATTGGGTTCCTAAGGCTGTAAATTGCTTGGAAGGAGACTGCACAGCATTTAGTTAGCAGCACCAACCCCTGTGGACTTACAGCTGGTCTGTACTACTCCACCAGAGCCATTAAGTACCATCTAGGAACAAAGTATATAGAAGAAAGCAATGAAAGACAAAAAAAGGAATTAGATATAGTCATGTGTTAAAGTACTTTTATAGTCTGGTAGAAGAGATAAGTATATAAGTTATTAGCAATAAAGAGGCAGAATACTAGCAATAAGAGGCATAAAATAAGTGCTATAGTAGAATCCAAAAGGTTAGAAGTTTGAATCCACCCAGTGACAATGGAAGAAATGCCTAGCAGTCTGTTTCTATAATATTACAGCCAAGAATTTTTGTAGAGTACATTTCCACTCAGAAGCACATGGAGTCACCACGAGTCAGAATCGACTATGAATTTAATGTGATATTATTGTTGCTAATTGCCATTGAGTTGATTCCAAATCATGGTGACCCCATTATTCTTTGGAACAACATGCTGAGAAAGGTTGCGGGTCAGTGAAAGAGGGAAAGACCCTCACTGTGATAGACTGACGTGATGGAAGATGGCAAAAATGGACTAAAATATGTCAGAGATGATGATGATGGCACAGGAGAGGACAAGGTTCAGATTTGTTCATAGGGTCACTATGAGTCTTACTTGACTCAACGGCTCCTAACCACCACCACCACCATTTATGCAAAGCAGAACTGCTCTATTGGATTTTCAAGGCTGTGACCTTCCAAAAGCAAATTACTAAACTGGTGTTTAGAGGTGCCTCTGAGCTGATTGTACTCCACAGGGACTCTGTAGTCTGGTGCTGAAGATTAACTAGTTGAAGTATTAGAAAGGAAAAGAAGAATTTGAGTTCATAGGAAAAGAACAGTAGAGAAGAAGCCCAGGATTCCATCTCAGGGAATCCCTTAGGAACAGGTAAAGAAACTGTCTTGGAGGAAAGGGTTAGTTGTAGCACCCATAAGGCAGAAGGACAAGGGAAGTATATAAAATTGTTCTCCTGGTATTATGTGCTTAAGAATTTTATTTTTAGCATGCCTCTAAATAGTTAATCTCACAGATTTAAGCACCGTGTGGCTTGGCACTAATACTTTGAAAATCGCCTTTGTACTGTATGTTCTGTAAAGTATAAAGGCGAACATATTGACAAGGCAATGTTTAAAAGTGACTACAACTCAATTTTCTTGCCAGCTGACAATATTAATCAAGATATGCTATTGTTCTGTGTGCAGTGTTAAAAAAAAAAAGATTAAACACTGTAGACTTAAGCATAATAATTTTACCCAAGGTACTAGAGTGTGAGATTTCTCAGCCTTCGCACTATCTGTGGTCTTCACCTGCCGTGTGTGTGTGTGTGTGTGTGTGTGTGTGTGTATCTCCCAACAGCATGCTCTTGCCCCAGTCATGACAATTAAAACTGTCTCTAAACATTGCCAGATACCTCCTGCTAAATTGCCCCTGGTGAAGAACTACTAACATGAGCTTTGAGTTACATCGTTCAGTCACTCATTACTGTCAAATTGGAACTGACTCCTTGATGAGCCTCCACTGGATTTGCAAATGTGTGAGGGGAGATTGCCCCACTTTCTTGTGTGGAGTAGTTGGAAGACTGGAATCTGTTGAGAAATTCAGCCTTTGAATTAGCAGCATGACTCTATAGGCTACACCACTCTTTGGTTTGGATAGATATATGCTAACTTTATCTCATTATAGTTGTTGATCAGTTGCTAATTTTAGCTTGCTTACCTGTTAAATTGAGGGTAATAATTCTCCCCTTTAGGATTGTTAGTATTATTGGAGTGACTTGTGAGTAGTCAGCAAATATTTCATTTTCTTCCTAATTATTCACTGCCCTTTTTTCCCCCCTGAAGTGAAATGAGTGATAATTTAGATTGTGATTGGCTGCCTTGAAGCTGAGATTACATTTGTGAAATATTTTATCAAAATGCCTTTCTTTAGCTTGGATATGTAAAATCTCACTCCCATCTGTGGCTGGCATTTATAGTTGTTAATTACTCCTTAGAAAATCACTCAAGAGGTAAAAAGAGATTTGTTGTTGTTATTGTTAGGTGCCGTCGAGTTGTAGTCGACTCATAGTGACACCACGAATGAAAGACCTGAACACTTGTATAACTTTCATAATTTCTCCACGTTCATAGAGTTTCCGGAGGCAGGCTATTTCAGAAGTGGATGCCACTCCTGCTTCCACGCTTTTTTAAATTGTTTTAATTGGGGAGCTCCATGAAACACTGTTCACCATGGGTAACTATTATCACATTTGGCACATCAGTGTCACAGTGTTTAACATCACAGCAACCATGAGTTACCTCTGTACAGCAATGCACAGACCAGTGCTATACCACTTAGAAGAGTGTTTGACCAAAACCAATTTAAACCAGTCCTGAGGGCCACAGATTAAAATCACCCACCTTTGGCTTGGTCGCATAATTTTCTACTAGGCCAACAGAGCTCTCTCTATGTTGTTGTTATGTAAGTAAAATAAATAACTTGGCTGGAAGAATAGAGTCCTTTGGGAGCTATGGTTGAGTGGCATCAAGTCAACTGCAATTCATAGCAGTCTTGTGACTAACAGATCTAAACCTTGTCCTCTCCTGCACCATCCTCAAGATTTCTGACATACTTAGGCTGATTGTTTTACTGTGTATATCCATATCGTTGAGGGTCTTCTGTTTCTGACCCCATACCTTTTCCAGCATGATGCTGTCTTCTTAAGGGCTGATACTCCTGAAAACCCCCAAAGTATTTCACCATTCTTACTACTGATTGCCCTTCCTTCAAAAGATTTATTCTTTTGGCAGTCTAAGATATATGCATTACCACAATTCAAAGACATTATTCTTAAGTCTTTTTAATTCATTGTCTTAACTTTCTTATGAAGCAATTGAAAATGTCCTGGCTTAGATCAGGCACACCTTAGTCTTTGATCTGAAACCTGGCTCATTAGCCCTTAGAGAAATCCTTGTTAGCACATTTTCTCAATACAAATGTTTTTTTGGTTGCTCCTATCAGAGGTATTGATTATAGATCCAAGTGAAATGAAATTGTCAGCTGTAGTTTTTTCTCCATCTATCCGTGATGTTGCCTGTTGGTCCAGTGATGAGACTTCTGTTTTCTTGATGTTGAGATGTAATCCATATTAAAGGCTGTAGTCCTGAATCTTCAGCAGTAAGTGCCTCAAGTCCACTTAAGAACTGTAAGATTGTGTCATCTGCATAACACAGGTTGTTGTTGAATCTTCTTCATTATTGAGACCAAATTTTTGTTCATATAGTCCCAGCTTCTTGAATGATTTGCTCACCTTACAGATTTAATAAATATGGGGCCAAGATCACAACTCTCATATACCCCTTTCCTGATTTTAAACCTTACAGTTCCCTTGTTCAGTTTAGACAACTGCTTCTTGGTCTATGGATAGATTTCTCCTGTGCACAATTAGGTGTTCTGGAATTCGCATTCATATTGGTAGCATTATTTGTTATTATAGTCGAAGAACTTTGTATAATCAGTAAAACACAAGTAAACATCTTTCTGATCTTCTCTGCTTTCAACCTGATATTAGTAATGATATCCCTCATTCCCTGGCCTCATCTGAAGCCAGCTAGAATTTCTGCTAGTTTCCTGTATTGTTCTGGGCATTTAAAAATACTCTAAAAAATACTCTTCAGCAAGATTTACTTGTATGTAATAGTAATCTTACTTTTCCATAATTTACACACTCTGTTAGCACGTTGCCACAGATGATGGTAATACATTACAAAAATGTGTTTCTAAGCATGGTTGTCAATGAAAAGTTTGCGGCAACGTGTTAAATCACCTTTCTTTTTTTTTTGAATGGGAACAAATAAAGATCTCTTACAGTCAGTTGGCCAAGTAGCTATCTTCCGAATTACTTGTCACAGGGTAGTGAACATGTCCAGGGCTACATCTCTTGTTGAAGCATCATAATCGGTATCCTTTCAATTCCTGGGAAACAGTTGAGTTTTAAAAACTTGAATTGGGTGCACTGTAGTCTTTAAACTGACATCATTGCTCCTTACTACCCTAGAGAGGTCTTGACCACAGATTTTCCCCTTATAACATACCTTTTGATTCTTCACTGCTGGCACGAAGAATTTTGATTGTGAATCCAAACAAGATGAAATCATTGACATCTTCAGTCTTTTATCCATCCATCATGATGGGCATGTGGGGATGATTTTTGTCTTCTTAATGTTGTTGTTAAATGCCACTGAGTTGTAGATGACTCATAGCTCCCTATGAAGGAAAGACCTGAACACCTGTATAACTTTGGTCGTTTCTTCATGTTCATAGAGTTTCTGGAGGCAAGCAATTTTGGAAGTGGATGCCAGTCCTGCTTCCAAGCTTGTTTTAATCGGGAAGCTCCACCAAACACTGTCCACCATGGGTAACCATTATCACATCAGTGTCACAATGTTTAGCATCATAGCAACCACGAGTTACCTCTGTACAGCAATGCACAAACCAGTGCTATACCACTTAAAAGAATGTTTGACAGAAAAACAATTTAAACCAGTCCTAAGGGCCACAGATTAAAAACAACCACCTTGGACTTGATAGCATAACTTTCTGTCCACTAGGCCATATAACTCTATGTTGTCATTGTTACTGTTAAGTGCCATCAAGTCAGCATTCCACCCTATGGCTCACCAGTCCCAGTCAACAGGCTTCTATAGAACCAGCTCCTGTACATGACTTTCAAACTGGTTTCCAGCTGTCTTCTTAATAGTGAGATATAATCCACTTTGAAGGCTGTAGTCCTTGATCTTCTTTAGTAAGTATTTCAAGTCCTCTTTGTTTCAGCAAGCCTTCAAAAAGCATTTCAAGGTCTTTTAATCATGTGCATAACACAGTTTGTCTGAGTCTTCCTTCGATCTTGATGCCACATTCTTATTCATAAAGTCCATCATGTTGAGTGACTTATTCAGCATACAGATTGAATAGGTATGAAGAAAAGATACAGCCTTGACACACGCCTCTTTTGAGTTTTAAACCATTCAGTGCCTGTTCATACAGCAGCTTGATCTAGGTATAGGTTTCATATGAGAACAATTAAGTGTTCTGGGGTTCCCATTCTTTTCAGTGCCCTAAGTTGTTAAATGCTGTTGAATTGAGTATAACTTATAGTGACCTTCTAAATGGCAGATCTGAACCCTGTCCTTTCCTGTACCATCCTTATCATTTATGACATATTTGAGCCCATTGCCACAGTAACTGTATCAACCATCTCATTGAGGTTCTGCCTCTTTGACTGAGCCTCTACCCTTCCAAGCATGATGTCCTTTTCAAAGGAATAGCCTCTCCTAAGAATACACCCAAAGTATGTAAGACAAGGCTTCACAGTCCTTACCTAAAAGGAGCACTCTGGTTTCACTTTCTTCAAGACTTATATATTCTTTTGCCAGTCTGAGAAATTCAGAATTCTTTATCAACACCACAAGTTGAAGGCATTGATTCTTCTCCTGTCATCCTTATTTTTGTCCACTTCACAGATGCATAGCAGGTTTGAATCAGGTCACCGTAGTCTTTAAAATGGCATCATTGCTCTTCAGGCTTTGTAGAGATCTCCTAAAACTGAGTTTCCTAATGCAGTACATCTCTTAATCTCCATACTGACTGCTTGGGCTAAATTGTGTACTGTAGAGTTGGAACTGACCTTTTCGTGGGTTTTCAGAGGCATTTAATAGCATGAGAGGAGATTGTCCATCTTTCTTCCCTGGAGCGGCTGGTGGATTTGAACCATGAACCTTTGGGATTGCAGTGCAGCTTCTTACCACCAAGGCAAAGTAGAAGAGTTGAAATCTCATTTAAAAAAAACACTTCTTCCAAGACAGATTCTTATTTGTCTTTTAGCAGTGCACTGTATATTCAGTGTATATTCACCCATACCACAGTTGAAAGGCATCAATTCTTTACTGTTATTGTCTCATTTTCGCATATATATGAGATGACTGAAAATACCATGTTTAAGTGTTTCAGTCAAGTTGGGTGTTTTTTCAGCATTTTAAAGTGATGTTTTGCAGAAACACAATATGCCATTTGCCCAATACAATATACCTTTTGGTTTTTTGACTTCTATTACCATGGGCCTTAACTGTGACTAGAAATAAAGTGTCTAGCTTCTTGGATTTTTAGCTCAGCATATAAGTTAAATAAATATTGGTAAAAGATACAACTCTGAAACATATTTTCTTGACTTTATTTATTTATTTAACTCCTGAGAAAAATTACTTGATAAATAATAAAACCTTATTTGCCCTTTCCTAATGAAGGTGTTAAAAATATCTAAGCACATGTATTAGCAACCACATGTTGATAATCTTTTAGTCTCCTATGGCTATCATAACAAAGTGCCTCAAAATAGATGGGTTAAAACAGTTTATTCTCCTAGAATTCTGGGTGGCAGCAGGGCCATGGTTTTCTCCAAGACTGTAGGGAAGGATCTTTGTAGTTTCTGATAATCCAAATATTCCTTGATTTTTAGTCACATCACTTGATCTGTTGCCTCAAGGCCTTCTTCCCTCTGAAATTGTCCATTCCTTTTCTTTTTTACAGAGACACTTGACTTACTTTTTTAGAGCCCACTCTGGTCCTGTGTGACCTAATAGTAATTAATTGCATTCAGAAAGATCCTATTTTCAAATAAGGTCACATTTTCTAGCATAAAGGGTAAGACTTCTGCATATCTTTTGAGGGGGATACAATTAAATATGTAATGGCAGCCAGTGCTAGAAATGCAGTGGTAAAATGTCCTAGACTTAATTTTCTTTTTTTATATTTGAAAGAAAATTCCAAGCTCTTTCAAGTTAGGAAAGCACAATATGATAGTATTGTAGACTTCAGAGTTTAGTTAACTCTGAAAAGTGTTTTTGCAGATTATCATCAGGAATATGGGATGGAATCTTGTTGGTCCTGTTGTTCGATGCCTTTTATGGAATGATAAAGAAGATGATAAAAGGAAAGATTATTTTCTGATGCTGGATTTATTGGTAAAGGTAAGTTAATGAAATAGTTCTCTTTTCACTATGCAGGGAAATAATTTATAATACCTTTAATGTTCAGAACTTTGGCCTAGTGAGGGTAAGGAATTACACTGCCAACCTAAAGGCACTCAGTTCAAATCTACCAGCTGCTGTATGTGAGAAAGATGGGCAATCTCCTCTTCTGTTCTTTGTTGTTGTTATTATTGTTAGATGCTATCGAGTACGACTAATAGTGACCCCATGAACAAAAGATTTAAACCCTGTTCTGTACTGTGCCATCCTTGCACTTCCTGACACACTGTGTTAGTCACCCATTGTGTTAGTCACCACATAAATCCACCTGGTTAAGGGTCTTTCTCTCCTCCATCCTTCCTACAATCATATCTTTCTCCAAGGAGTAGCCCCTCCTAGCAACATGACCAAAGTATGTGAGACAAAGCCTCATCACCCTTGCCTCCAAAGAGCACTCCAGCTGCACCCTCTCCAAAACATACTTGTTTGTTCTTTTGGCTGTCCTTGGCATGTTCAGTACTCTTCTTCAACACCACGTCTCAAAGGCATAACAGCGCAGGAGGGGGAAGGCCCTCTATGAGGTGGATTGATTCAGTGACTGGGATAATCGGGATGGGAGTGTCAGAGACAATACGACTGGCACAGGACAGAGCAGAGTTTCGGGCTGTTGTACATAGGGTCGTTATGAGTTGCAAGCGACTTGACGGCACATAACAGCAACATCCTTATTCATTGTCCAGCTCTCAGATCTATAGCAAGTGATTGGAAAGACTGTGTACTGAATCAGACACACCTTGGTCCTCAAACTGATCTCATTACAACTTAATAATCTGGAGAGGTCCCTAACTGCTAATTTTCCCAGTGCAATGCATCTCATTATTTCTTGACTACTGGTACCAAGTTAATTGTGGATCCAAGCAAGATGAAGCTATTGACAGTTTCAATCTCCTCCTCCATTCATCATGATGTTGCATATCGGTCCAGTGGTAATAATCTTCGTTTTCTTGACATTAAGATGCACTCCATACCGAAGGCTGCATTCCTTGATCTTTTGCAACCGAACATGCAATCAAGACATGTTAATGATAATTCGTGACTGGAATGCAAAAGTGGGAACTAGTGAAGAAGGACTAGTAGTTGGAAAATATGGACTTGGTGATAGAAATGAAGCTGGAAATAAAATTACTGGATTTTGTATTTACAGTGATTTATTCATTGCATATACCTTTTTTAAAAGATAAAGATGATGACTTTACATGTGGATTTTACCTGACGGGCTGCATAAGAATTAGACAGACTACATTTGTGGAAGAAATTGTTGGAGAAACTCAATATCAGCAGTCAAAACTAGGCCAGTGCAGGGCAGACTGTGGGTCAGACCATCTGTTACTCATATGCAAGTTCAAACTGAGGCCGAAGAAAATGAAAGTAAGTCGTCAGGAACCAAGATATGATCTTGGATCAATTCTAACTGAATTTCAAGATCATCTTAAGAATAGATTTCTGTTCTTTAATGCCTTTAAAACCTGCTAGAGGGTCAGCTATGAGTCAGTTCTCATTTGAAGATACATAAGCAACAACATTCAGAACTTTAATGCTTGGTCTTTGATAAGCAAGTGTTTAGTTTATGTATTAAATAATTAGTACAAAATACATACAAAAGGTAACTATGGCAACAGTGCCTAATCTTACATATTAGATGGGTGATTATATTCAGAATTTGCTAAATTTCCTGGATATAAAAATATCTAGCCTCATCTCATATCCACTAATTTCAGTATAAACATGGGAAGTTTTAATTTTTAGCAAATATCCTTTATTGTATATAGATGTAAAATTGAAGGTTTAGAGGGGTAGTTCAAGGCCATATTGATATTTTGGAAATTTTGGAACTAGAATCTAGTCTTATTTCTTGACCATCTATGGTATAGACTCTAAAATATTATGAAAAATGCACAAGTATAAGTACAATTGGAAGTAGGAGTAGGAAGTAGAACTTTAATCAGTTGTCATTATAGACCTTGTTTAAAGGTTAGTAGGGTTCCTTGCTTGGTTCCACAATTAGTACTTTTTACATCAGTAGTCAGGAAATCAAAAGACAAATTGCATTGGGAATATCTACTGTCACGGACTTAAGTGCTGAAGAGCAATGATGTCAGTCTAGAGTAAGACTAAGATGTGCCTAATTCAGGCCATGGTCTTTGCAATTACTTGCTGCACATCAGAGAGCTTGACGATGATTAAGGATGACAGAAGAATTGATGCCTTTGAGTTGTAGTGCTGAAGTAGAGTATTGAACATACCATGGGCTGCCAAGAGAACAAACAGGTTTGTCCTAGAAAGGGCGAAACCAAGTTTCTCCTTGGAGGCAAGGATTTTGAAGCTCCATCTTACATACTTTGATCATGTTGCCAAGAGGGACCACTCCTTGGAGAGAGGGACCACTCCTTGGAGAAAGACAAGATGCTTAGAAGGGTGGAGGGATAGCATAAGAGAGAAAGATCCTGAATGAGATAGATTGACTCAGTGACTGGGGTAGTAGGAGTAAAAGTGTCAGAGACAGTAAGATTGGGTCAGGATAGGGTAACATTCAGTTACCCTATTGGGCGTTGTTGTTATGTGTTGTCAAGTCAACTGTAACTCATAGTGACCCCATGCACAGTAGCTCTGAACCCTGCTCTATCCTGAGCCATTCTCACTCTCTCTGCCACACTTACCGTAAATTACTCTAGTTACTGTTGTCAATCCATCTCAGCCAGGGTCTCCACACCTGCGCTGTTCCTTGACCCTTCCAAGCGTGATATCCTTCTCCAAAGTCTGAACCCTCTTGGCTACATGTCCAAAGAATGTGAGACAGAGGCTCAAATCCTTGCCTCCAGTTGTGTCATTATGAGTCACAGTCAACTCGATGACACGTAACAACAGGAAGGTCATTATATGTCAAAATGGACTTGATGACAATAGTTTTTGTTTTGTTTTGTTTTGTTTTAGGGCTTTAAACCAATATATGATACCTGAAAGATAAATTCTGAGCAAAAGTCAAAAGAAGCTACAGAGAGAGCAGGGCAAATAAAATATATACTTTATAGAAGGTGCTCAGTAGATATTAGCTATGAATTATGAACTCAGAACTCAAACTCATTGCCGTTGAGTTGGAACCAACTCATACTGACCGTCAGAAGGCTTTCAGAGGCTATAAGCTGCCAACAAGGAGATTGCCCATCTTTTCATAGCAGCTTGTGGATTTGAACCTCCCAATTCGGAGTTAGCAGCACACCTCTTTCTCCACCACAGTGCCCTCTTAAAAAACAAGGTGAATGAGATCATAAGATGTGGCTAGACATGTAGTCAGAAGGTTGCAAAGTGTTCTCTCTCCAGGAAGTACTTCAGAGGCTCCTGTACTAATCCTAGATACCTTTGCAAACGGTGTGGAATGGAAAGGACCCACCTGCTGGACACTGGAAATCTACAGCAGCTTCATAGCGGTCACTCACTGCCACTGAGTTGGAACTGACCGTCCAGCAGGTTTCTGAGACTAAATGGCACAAGAAGAGACAGCCATCTTTTCCCCACAAAGCAGGTGGTAGATTTGAACTGCTTGAGAGGCAAGGCCTTTGAGTTAGTGCAGCTCCCTACGAACGATATCCCCAGACACAGGTGATGGGAGGAAACCTCGACTCCATGTCCAGGCTTTCCTTTCCCTGACTTTAGTCTCCACATTGTAGTTGCTATTAAGAAATTCTGACTTCTTGTTAATCACATTATATTTTGCTTGTGCATTCTTTTTTTAAGATTCTATGAGGTATTTTAGTATAAAGCAAAAATGTATTTCTCAGTATGTACCTTCTTTTAAAAATAGTAATCATGTGGCTTTAAATACAACTTGTATTAAACAGGTTCAATTGTGAATATTTTTATAGTTGTGTAATCCAAAGGAATTATTGTTGGGTTTGCTTGAACTGATTGAAGAACCTTCTGGAAAACAGATATCCCAAATTATTCTTCTTTTACTTCAGCCATTACAGAAAGGTAACGTGGATTTTGATATCTAAATGGTTCTTTTTATATATATGTATGCCACCTTGACATTTATCCCAAAGCACCAACACTACACCAGAGTAGAGTCGATGGTTAATCAGAGTACTCGTCTTAAACAGAGGGAGTTCTGCGGGCCTAGTAGTTAGGAGCTGTGCTGCAGTCTCAAAGGCACAAGCTGCTGTGCAGGAGAAAGATCAGCCGTCTCCTACCATGAGATTTACTGCCTCTTAAAACCTGCTGGAGAGTCAGCTGAGTATGAGTCAGTTTCAACTTGACTGTACACAACAACTTCTTCAACTAATAGCAGTGCTCGTGTGACTGTTCCTGCTCATGAAAAGATAGTACCTGGCACACAGCGGACAATCAAAATAGATAGTATTTTTTGTATGATATGTTGTAACATGGAATTTTTGCCTAACCTTCCTAGTTGCACCTTAAACTAGAATTTCTCTCTAGACATGCTTAAAGGTTCACCCCTATGGTATCTGCCTCTGGGGAGTACTTCTAGAGAATTTCTGGATCTTGATAAGAACTGTTTCAGGCTGGGCATTGCTCAGCATTTGCATTGGGATGTTAGGGTTGGATTTAGGAAGAGCAGAAATACTGCTGAGGAATGAAAGTAGGAGGTGGAATGATAAGACTCTGGCTGAATGCACACACTAATAATAATAGCCTTGATAACCACCACAGTGTTTACCCTGTGCTTATCATGGTAAGAGGCTACTTTTTCATTTTATGACCATTATATGACTTAGAATCTGATAGAGGGCCCAGAATCAGAAGCTGGAGTTAAATTATTTTAAACATGAATATCTAGCTTTGTACTACTTGAAATATTAAAAATTTTCTGTTATTGTTGTTATGTGTTGTCGAGTTGCTTGCGACTCATAGGACCCTATGTACAACAGCCCTAAACCCTGCTCTATCCTGTGCCATCGCACTACCTCTGACACACCCATCCCAATTACCCCAGTAACTGAATCAATCCACCTTATCGAGGATCTTCCCCTCCTGTGCTGTCCCTCCACCCTCCCAAGCACGATGTCCCTCTCCAAGGACTGGTACCGCCCTGCAACATGTCCAAAGTATATAAAAAATTTTCTAGGGGGAAAAAAAATCTAATACTACCTGACGTGTATATAAAACTTTATGTAAGTTTATAGTTTATAAGGATTTTCTTATACTTTAAGCTTATAACATCTCCTCTAGACTATGGAAAAATGTGTTTTGTTTCCTGTAGCGTATAACCTGTTGTCATCAGTGTATCTAAACAGTTTATCATGGTATTTGTTATGTTGTGGTACCGTGGTAAGATGCACCATTATCTTATGCACCAAGCAGAAATAACCCTACCATTTAAGGTATAATACGCCATCCAGATTTCAGAGTTGTTAAGCTGTAAGGGGAAATGTGTTTTACAGTTCTGTACTCTCTTAGCTTTTTGTGCTGTGCTTAGCATACTTGATGATACCACCTCAAGTTAATTCGATCTCTGTTTTAGTGATTCAGAAACTTCATAACAACAAGGCATACTCAGTTGGATTAGCATTGTCAACCATTTGGAATCAGCTGTCTCTTCTACCTGTTCCATACTCAAAAGAACAAATACAGACCGATGACTATGGTCTTTGTCAATGTTGCAAGGCTTTAATTGATTTCACTAAGCCATTTGTGGAAGAAATCATTCATGCCAAAGAAAATTCGCTGGAAAATGAAAAATTAAAAGATGAATTACTGAAATTGTAAGTATATTTGAACTTAAATTGATAGCCAATTCAGTTATCCTATGTTTTGTTGCTTGTTGGCCATATAAATTTTAACATTTTAGAAGAATATGTAGTTCAGATGACATGATAGTGGACCATTTAATGAGACACTGCTTTTTTAAAAAAGACTATGAAACCAAGATTCACGCATTTAATTCACTGTGCATCATGTTTCCTCATCATAAATTAATAATGAAAATAGGGGAAGTAGAAGTTTAGTCTTCCCTAGAGGAACTGTGTTTTTACTCCCCCTTTCAAAGCATCAGGAATTCAGGTTGCATAGTGGGCTAAGTGAGAGGCTGTTCTCTGAAAGGTTGGTGATTTAGACCCAGCAGATACTCTTCTTTATAAAATATATGTGACCCCCTCCATTATCTTTTATTGGGCCATGCTAGAAAAGACTGGGAGCTCTGGTTGCCTAGTGGTAAGAATTTACACTGTAATGCAGTTCAAATCTACCAGCTGCTCCATGATACAAGGATGGGCAGTCTCCTCCTGTCAGATTAACTGCCTCTGAAAAGCCACTGGAGGGTCAGCTATGGGTCAGTTCTGACTCAATGGTGTACACCATCACAACAACAGACAAGACTATTGATGATGTATGTAACTATTATGGCCCAGTAGTTTTATACTTTTAATTTTCGTGACTAGGTGAAGTATTGTCAACTTTCTGTTTTGTTAAGAAACATTTAAAAAATTTTTACCATTTATTCCCAATTAGTAAAAGTAAACATATTTAATTAAAATAAGGACTTAATCACAGAATAAAGTCTTGTTTTCATAATAAAAAAACAACTTTATGAAAAAAAACAATACACTGCCCTCATTTTTCCTTGAATTATTAAAAGCTGCATTGACATCCTGGTCCTAAGACAGGCACCAAGAATCTGCTGAGATACATGGTGGAGAGCCCCACAGATTGAGTCTGGTAGGGTGTTCTCATGCTCTCTCCTTTGGTATTAAAGTGGGTAGTTCCTCATCTATATTTTAGATTACAGAATTCACTGGTGCCTATTCTTTTTATCACAGAACTTAATACTAAAAAAGTATTGCATTCAGAGTTACTAATTTCTTGTATCTTAGTTGTTTTAAAAGCTTGAAATGCCCTTTGCTGACAGCACAATTCCCCAAACAGCTGGAAGAAGCGGAAAATGATCCTTTATGGTGTTTTGCATCTGAAATTGTAGTAAGTACAGCTAATTTAATTTCCTAAAAAATCTGCTATAATCTAAAATACTGTGTATTCTCATATACTGCATATGGACAGAAATTTTAACTGAAACTGGCTGAAAGCAAGGAAATTAAGTGAGAGAGCTTAAGTTAAATGAAGTGGTAAAGATGAGAAGAGGATAGATTTCAGAGTTTTTAAGCAAATTTTTTAGACCATTTTAGTATAAATCTGATGATTGGATTTAGAAGAATGGTAAGAATAAATCAAGAGTGAAAGGGTTTTGTTGGTTTTTCTTACTTGATTATGAGCAAGTGAGTGTGCTTTAAAAAATGTCTATTAAATATTCAGGAAAGTAGAGAAAACAGTATACTATTGAGATGCTCCCACTTTAAATAGTTACCTAATTTTGCCGATCTTGTGTCAATCTTGGTTTTGTGTGGCCATTTTACAATATTATTTTATTAGAAATTCTAATATAGTATCATGGTGTATATGTTGCGCTGCTAACCAAAAGGCCAGCAGTTCGAATCCACCAGCTGCTCTATGAAAGTAAGATGGGCAGTCTCCTCAAAGATTTAGTCTCAGAAGCTGGAGGGCCATTAGTAGTCAGAATTGACTCAATAGCAGTGAATATATTATTTTATAGCAACTTAATAGTTCATCGGTGAATATATACTTGATAAGGAACTTTTTTCCCTCCTCAACAAAACCACCATGACACCTAACCAAATTAACATTAATTTCTTAGTGTATATCAGATACCCAGAGAGAACAAGTTCTTAAAGCAGGTATTATGAATAAGAGTGGGGGAGATTTCTTCAGGAGGTAGAGCAGAGTGAGAAGAGGAAAGGGCTCAATGCTGAACCCTTGTGAGTGCAGCATTTAAGGTGAGCTCACCAAAGAGACCATAATTGTGATTCAGTCTGTATTTGTGTGTGATTTTCTTCAGCAGTATTTAGCTCTCTAAATATATAAACAGGGAAGGTGTGTTTTAGTGTTTATTCAAAGGCTGGTATTTTACTTGGGTGACTATTGTTAGTTTAGTCAGTACTGACTCAGTCGCAACACCAGAACTGCAATCACAGCATTTCCAAGATTGTGTGTGACCTTTTGGGAGCAAAGCTTCAGGCCTCTCTTCCAAGGCACCTCTGGGGGGTTTGGACTACCAATTACTCCAGGTAGTATCCAAGTACTTAATCATTTTCACTGTGTAGGAACTCTGTTCCTTACTTTTTTCTTTTATCAAACTCACTTGCTGTTATGTGCCATCAGGTCGCCTGTGACTCATAGCAACCATACAGCAGATCTGAACCCTGCCCTGTCCTGAGCCAGTCTCACTAATTTCAACACACCAATCCCCATTGCTCCAGTCACTATATCAATCTGGAGTCTTCCTCTCCTGCTGTTGTCTCTCCACCCTTCCTAGCACAATGTCCTTCTCCAAGGACCAGTCTCTCCTGGCCATGTGTCCAAAGTATATGAGACAGAGCTTCAAAATCCTAGCCTCCAGGGAGAAATTTAGTTTTACTCTCTCCAAGAGAGACCTATTTGTTTTCTTGGCAGTTCATGGTATATTCAAAACTCTTTCTCTAGCACCACAACTCAAAGGTATCAATTCTTCTGTCAACCTTTGTCATTGTCCATCAAACTCAGTAAGTGTAGGAAATATGAGGTGTTGGTAGTTCAGATTCTATGTGGCCCTGGTTAGGTAGGGAAAGAAGGGAGGCTGAAATAGCATGGACAGACTAGGTTAAAAATAAGAGTTTGAAAAGTTAGAAGAGAGGAATTAAGAAGTAGTCAGAAGATAGGATAGTGGAATTTCAGACAACCTAATATTAAATAGTACTAAATGTTAACAGAGATTCAGGATAAGATTAAGTGCTGGATTTGATCAGAAGTAAAGGTCACCAAGAAATCAAGAACCAGTAGGCTGTCAGAGTAGGCTTATAGTCTTTATGATCATTCAACACCTCCTTGGATCTAAACAGGAATTGGAGCAGAGAGTGAGCTGGTGCCAGTGTTATCTTCAGTGAATATTAGGACAGTTCAAGGGCAGTATGAGAGCCTGACTCAAAGTAAACTGTGTACCACCCCCTCTTGTGTACCGTCAAATCAGATCCGGCTGGCACAGGAGATTGCCCCTTCCTCTCCAGCAAGAGTATCTGGTAGATTCAAACCACGTGCCTTTGGGAAAGTGTGGATTTTTTTGAGAGTGCTGAAAAGGCCAATGTAATACTAAAGTCCTGCCCATCCTAGGGAGGTCTGGTGGCTAGTGGTAAGGAATTATGCTGCCAGCCAAAAGGTACTCAGTTCAAATACACCAGATGTGCCACAGGAGAAAGAACAGCAGTCTCCTCCCATGTGATTTACTGCCTTTGAAAACCCTTGGGAGTGTCAGTTCCAACTTAACGATTCATACCAACAGCAACAAGCCACAATATACTGTCACTGCTGCTTCCTAGCATGACAGTGTATAGGATGTGAGAGAATGAACAGCTGTCACGGAAATATGAATATGTGAATATGGGAGGAATATGTGAATATGGTAGGTGGATATGTGAATATGGTAGGTTTAATTAAAGAAATGAGGCAGGGCAAAAATTCTCTAAAGAAAATGGGAATATAGGCTAGAGGTCCCAAAATCGTAGTGGAAGAAGCCTTGCAAGTAGAAAGAGCTAGCAGTGAAAAAAAACCCACAAAATAGTTAAGAAATAGAGATGAAGGACAGGGTAGGGGATGGAAGTGAGAGGTCATGCCTTTTCTGTGCTGGAGAAGATTAGCATGGTTGAGATTGACTGGCCTTATCTTTCCTGACTTTGAGTTATTTTGGTACAGACTCTTGAGTGTCCCAAAGGTTTTAGTGTAGGAGCAATCCTGAAACCATGGAAGCTGTCATAAAGTTTGAGAAATTGCAGAGTGGCATGTATTGCCTGGATCTGGGTTAAGCTATTGAATGTGAATAAGTACAAAGTGAAGACCCTATTTGGCACAGATTTGGACTTTGCGTTTCTAGGGCAACACTGTAGAACATGGTAGAGTATGATTTTTTTTTTAAATGTTCCTTTGGAAAGAGACAGTAAGTATATGGCGGCTTCAGGATTAAGAGGACATTTGGAATATGAGTGCAATAAACTTTTTATAGCTATAAGAAGAATGTGTGAGTTTAAAAATTCATATATCGTTAACATCTCGTGACTGAGGAGCAGTTTCTTGTGACAGGATGATTTTCCATGGCTCTCTGTTGTGTTCTGAAATGACTAATGGAAGTCATCTGGGATCAGCAGATTTTAACTCCCTGAAGGCAGGAACAGTTTGATTTGGTTTTGTAATTCCCCACATTGTCAGGCTCAGTACCTGACACTAAAGTGCTCTCAGATGTTTAAATGAATAAGTTAATGAAGACTGAATATGCCTTTTTGTGAAGCTGCTCTGTAAATATTTGGCAGAGGAATTATGTTATTTCCTAAATTTAGGCTTAGAGAGAAATAGTTAACTTACCCATTGGCACACAGTCAAGACTACATGGCTGCATTCTGCACGTCAGGTGCTTTCTAGCTATACTAGAGTTAGAAGTGGTAGAAAAGGCACCCAGAGAGTCAGTGTTTCCAGAATCTCTTTGAGTTGGCAGTGTAATTCCTTACCGTTAAGCCACCAGTAGCTCTGGTTCCAGAGTTTCTTTTTCTACTTTTTTTCACTCCTTGAAAAGAGACAAAGCTTTAACCCTGCGGTATTGTCTTCTTGTTTCTCTTAAGACATGAGAGCCCCTACAACTTGAGATAACAGCTTTGTTTCATCAGCCTCTGCTGTCACTGTCTTACTGCTAGAGACCAGCATTCTTCAAGCCCACTCTGTGTCTTGGCAGTGGTTAGGGGAGCACTGCTTCTAGAGTATTCTTCACTTGAGTTGTTGTTAGGTGCTGTTGAGTCAAATAGGACTCATAGCAACACTGTGAATAACCAGTCTGAACACTGTCCTCTCCTGTGCCATCCTTACAATCTCTGACACATTCTAGCCCATTGCCACAGTCACCATGTCATCCCACCTAGTTGAGAGTCTTCCTCTCTTTCACCACCTCACCACTTTCCCAAGCATGATGCTAGGAGAAGTTATCTGTGGAGAGGACATCGTGCTTCACCCGAATGGTCCTATGCTTTCATGTCTCGCTCAAGTATCTCTGACATACCTTCTAAAAAGTTAAATGCAAACTGATCTTTGTTGTTGTGTGCCATTGAGACAAAACTAACTCATAGCTGATCCTCCAGTAGGTTTTCCAGAGGCTGTAAGTATCATGGAAGAAGATTTATTGCTCATCTTTATTTCTCATAGAGCAGCTGGTGGACTGAAACTGCTTGCCTTTGGGTTGCAGCACAACTCCTTACCACTAAGTCACCAGAGTTCTCTATAATCATTTAGATGTTTCTATCCTTCACTGTTTGCTGTCCAGTTCAGACTATCTCATAGCAGTCCCTCTAGTGGGATTTTGGAGGCTGTAAACCAGACAGGAGGAGATTATCCCTTTGTCCCTTGGAACTGCTGGTAGATTCTCCCTACCAGAGAAATGCCACCTTTGGGTTAGCAGTGCAACTCCCTGTGGACCAGGCCACTAAGCTCCTGTTTCTATCACAGAGTTCTAACTGCTAGAGCCCTCTAGCAGTCAGGTCATTTGACTGTATTTAAAACTTGTATGCCTGTGCCTTTCACCATAACTCTGAAAGACCAAGGTGATTTAGAAACTGTCCAATGCATCAGTGCTTATGTAGAAGGTAAGTTTTATTACCTTTAATAGCTTATATTAGTTTTCTCTTGCTACATAACTAATTCCTACAGACTTAACTGCTTAAAACAATTCATTTCTGTGATCTTAGTTTCATGGGTCAGATTCTAGGCACAGCTTACCTAGTTTCTCTCTTTAAGGTCATAATTAGGTGTTGACTGGGGCTGTCATGTCATCAGACGCTTAACTGGCAAAAGAACTACTTCTGAGCTTAGTTTGTTAGCAGAATTCATCTTCTTGTGACTGTAGGACTGCGGTCCCTGTTTTCTTGCTGAATGTTGACCAGGGTTTGCTGCCAGCATTTTGAAGCTGCCTGCAGTGCTTTGCCAGATAGCTTCAATAGGCCCTGCCATATGTGGCAGCTTTTCTTTAAAGCCGGCAGGGAGAATCTCTCTCCAAGAGGGCCTGGGCCCTCTTTAGCAACAGTCTACTGATTAAGTCTGGCTTATCTAAGATAATCTCCCTTCTATATAATCAAAACCAGCTAATTTAGGACTTCAGTTATATCTGTAAAAATCACTTCACTTTTTCATGTAATTTAATCAGAGAAGTGACCAATCACTTTTGTGAAATTCTGTTGGTTAGAAGCTAGATTCCAGGTCCCACCCACAGGCAGAGGGAACTCTATAGTGTGACAGGATGAGATGGGGGCTACTACCCTAGGGACTGTCTGCCGCAGTTTCCTTTTTCACTCTTTCCACAGGGTTTTTTATTAGCCATTGGAGAACCTTTCTCCAGAATGATTATTAATCATGGAAAGAAAAAGAGGATTTGGAAATATCTCGAATTTGAGGAAGAAGAAGACAAACAATTAGCAGACTCCATGGCTTCTCTTGCATACCTCGTATTTGTACAGGGCATCACTATTGATCAGCTTCCAATGGTCATGAGGTAAATATTAATCTTAGGTCTATGCATGTCTTATAAAAGGAATAGTATCACATTTATTTATCTGATGTGTCTGTGTTTATAAACATTCTAAGAAGTTTAAAAGAAAATAAAGGCTACTTTTACTGGTTCTAAATGTACTGGTTCTAAATTTTACTGGTTCTAAAAGGCTACTTTTACTAGCTACTAACATTCTAATACAAGCTATTTGGATCTGCCAAATTAAAAAAAGGAGTTCGTGTTAAAATAGGCATGATGGAATGTGGGGATAGTGATCAAATGTTAAACCAGGCTTGGTTTTGAAGTTATTGGGACAACCCAGGACTATAAGGAAGGGAAATGATTAAGTATTCATGGTGTTGTCAGGTGCCAACAAGCTGTGACTCATAGTCTTGTCAACAAATTACAACTTTGTCCTGTTCTGCACCATAATCACAATCTTTGCTGAGCTCGAGCCCATTGTTACAGTTACTGTGTCAATCTTTTTCATTGAAGATCTTCCTCTCTTTTATTGACCCTCTGCTTTTCCCAGCATATCCTTTTAAGCACTGGTCTTTCCTGACAACGTACATGCCCAAAGTTTCACCATCCTTGCCTCTAAGGAGCAACCTGGTTGGTTATACTTCAAGACAGACGTTTTTGTTCTTTTGGCAGGCAGAGTCAATACTCTGTCAGTATTGTAATTCAAAGGTATCTATTTCATCTTTAGCCTTCCTTATTCATTGTTCAACTTTAATGTGCATAAGAAACAATTGAAAATGCCATGGTGTGTATCAGGCCCACCTTACTCTTTTAAATGCTGTCCTTGCTCTTTAACGTTTTAAAGAAATCTTTGACAGCTGATTTGCCCAATACAGTACATTTTTTGATTTCTAGACTGCTGGCTGAAATATCTTAACATGACTTGTGAGGTAACATACTTACACATAGTATAAAGTATACATGGTGGATGAATTAGGGGAACTAAATAGGTTCTCCTAATTCGTGTACCCCCTGTTGTGCAGTTTTGCTCCAGTAATAGAAGGCCATTCGGTTTCTTTTTCCAGTGTGTTATGAATCCTTTGTACATGCTTAGGATAGTCTTTATCCTTAAATGTTGTTTTCTGAAGAAAGCTGTTTTGGTTTTGCTTTAATTGTGATTTTGATCAAAGTTTACAGAAAAATTAGATTTTCCATTCATTCACTGTTACACATTTTCTTCCCTCTACCTCTCCCAGTTCACCCTTTTTTAAAAAATATATTCATTCATGGTTGCACAATTTCCTCCCCCAGTCCTCTTTCCAATATACCTCTTGTTCTGGACCATTGTCTAATTGTTGTTTATAATGTCTGTTTATTCCTTTTAAGCAGTTCTCTCCCTCATCTGTTCTAATAGTGTTCATTGTCTATCTACTTTTTTCCTATTCCCCTCCCAGCTCCCTATGTCAGTCCTGCTTAACAGTGATGTTACATAGTATTTATCCTTTTGAGATGGAGACATTTCACTCAGCATTATGTCATCCAGGGTCACCCATGTTGTCTAATGTTTAGCAAGTTCATTATTTTTCAGTGTTGCATAGTATTCCTTTATGTGAATATACCAGAATGTTACTATCCATTGTTGATGGACATTTGGGTTGTTTCCATCTCTTTGCTGTTGCGAATAACACAGCAATAAACACGGATGTGTATACATCTGTTTTGATGGTGGTCTGGTTTCTTTAGGGTATATTCCCAGTAGTGCAATTGTTGGGTCAAATGGTTTTTATATTTGCAACTTTTTGAGAATGTGCCAAACTGCATTTCATAGTGCTTGCACCATTTTACATTCCCATCACCAATGAATAAGGGTTTCAGTTTCTCCACAACCTTGCCAGCATTTGTTGTTTGCTGTTCTTCTGAACTTTGCTATTGTTGCTGAAGGGAGATGATATCTTATACTTATTTTGATTTGTCTCTGATAGCTAGGGACTTTGAACATGTCTTCATGTGTTTGTCTGCCATCTGAGTATCTTCTTTGGTGAAATGTCCATTATTATCTTGTGCTCCTTTTGTGACTGGGCATTTCTGTGCTCATTTTACCTTTTGCATGTTGATGTGCTGGAGTATTCTATAAAATTTAGATATGAGTCCCTTATCAGACATGTCATCGCCAAGTATTTTTTCCCAGTTTGTGGATTTCCTTTTTACCTGTTCTAGTTTTTTGATGTACATAAGGATTTGATTCATCATAAGGAAATGAAGGTCTCATTAATCTATTTTGTACTCTCCTGACTGTAGGCTTTTCATTGTGCTTGGGGGGACGGTTCATTCTGTCGATTAGGGCTTCTAGAGTTCTTCCAAGCTTTTCTCTGATGAAGTTTATAGTCTTTGGTTTAACTCCTAGGTCCATGATCCACCTTGAGTTGATTTTTGTGTATGGTGTGAGGTGAATGTCTCACTTGAGTATTCTACAGATGATTTTCCAAATTTGCCAACACCATTTGTTAAAAAGGCTATCATTTTTTCCACTTGGTTGATGATATAGATCAGCTGATTTCTGGGTTCTCAATTTATTTCATTCATCTATGTGTCTTTCACTGTACCAGTACTATGCTGTCTTAACCACCACAGCTGTGTAACAGGATTTGAAATCATGGATTGGGATGCTGCCTACCTTGTTTCTTTTTTTTCCATTCCAAATAAAATTGGAAATAGTTTTTTCATCTTGTTGAAGAATGGAATTGGTATCTGCATTGGGATTGCATTGAATTTGTAGATTGCCTTTGGTAGAATTGTCATTTTTATGATACTGATTCTTCCTATTCCATGAGCATGGTATATTCTTCCATTTCTCCAGGTCTCTTCTTGTTTCTTGTAATGTTCTGTAATTCTCTTTGTATAGGTCTTTTGTGTTTCTAGTTAGATTTGTTCCCAAGTATTTAATGATGTGACTAGCTACTGCGCTGGGTATTATTTTTCTTGGCTCCTCTTCTGTATTCTCTATGTCACTGTAGAGAAATGCCATTGATTTTTGTATGTTGGTTTTGTATCCTGCCACTTTGCTGAATTGATTGACAGTGTTCAGTAGTTTTCTCAATGCGTCTTTAGGGTTTTCTAAGTATACTATCATATGTCTACATAGAGAGATAATTTTACCTCCTCTTTGCCAATTTGGATACCTCTTATTTCCTTCTTTTGTCTTAATGCTATTACTAAGACTTCCAATACAATATTGAATAGGAGAGGTGATAATGGGCATCCTTGCCTAGTTCCTGTTTTCAAAGAGAATGCCTTTAATCTCTCTCCATTGAGAATTATGTTAGCTCTTGGTTTTTTATATATTCTTTACACTGTGTTGAGGAAATTCCCCTCTAATCCTATTTTGTTGGGTGTTTTAATCAGGAAAGGATTTTGTCAGAGACCTTTTATGCATCAATTGATAGGATCATGTGGTGATTTTTCTTTTTTTAATGTAATGATTTACATTGGTTTTCTTATGTTGGACTATCCCATTTGGTCATGGTGAATTCTTTTTATTATGTACAGTTAGATTCTATTGGCCAGGATTTTATTGAGGATTTTTGCATCTATGTTCATGAGAGATACTGTCCACAGTTTTCTATTTTTGGTGGTGTCTTTATTTGACTTTGGTATAAAAAATATGTTTGCTTCATGATCCTGGAAGAATTCCATCTTTTCCTATTTTCTGAAATACTTTATATAGAATTGGTGACAGTTCTTCTGTGAAAGTTTGATAAAATTTACTAGTAAAATCATCTGGCCCAGGGTTTTTTTGGGGTTCAGTTTCTTCTTTTGTAATGGGTCCGTTCAGGTGTTGTACTTCATTCTGTGTCAATTTGGGTAACTTGTGAGTTTCTAAGTATTTGCTTCTTCTAGGTTTTCATATTTGTTTGAGTATTGTTTTTCATAATATCCCATTGTTAACCTTTTTATTTCAGTTGGTTCTGTTGTGCCCTTTTCATCTGTTATTTGGTTATTTGCATTTTTTTTTTCCCTTCTGTTAGTTCTGCAACTATTTGTCAATTTTATTGTTTTTCAAAGAACCAACTTGTGGTCTTGATGATTTCAATTGGGGTTTTTTTCCTTTTTATTTCATTTATTCTGTGTAAATTTTTATCATTTCATTTAAGGTTGATGGGTTTTCTTGCTCCCCCCCGCCCCCCAGCTTTTTGGAGATGTTAAAGAATCAATTATCATTTATTTTCTTCCTTTTTGATATGTTTGCTTATTGTTATAAATTGACCTCTAATTACTGCTTTGCCTGTTTTCCAGAGGTTTTGGTAAGTTATATTGAAGAAAACTTTTTGTTACCACCCAGCTAGGTTGAATCTTCAACTTATTATCAAGTTTATAAAATTTATGTAAATCTGTATTTGTATGTTTGTTGTTTGATTTTATAAGGTGACACTTTCTTACTTTAAGGTCAGTCATGATAAGGATTATATAAGCCACGGATATATTTCTCTATGACAGTTTTTATATTTATGTATTCATATACTTGGAGATAAGTTTTTATGTAAATACTTTAATAATGGCTACCATTGGCATGTTCATAATGTATTAAGACATTATGTTTGTAACTTTACATGCATTTAGCATGTTGTGTGGTTGTTGTTATGTGCCGTCGAGTCACTTGTGACTCATAGCGATCCTGCGTACAACAGCCCTAAACTCGGCTCTGTCCTGTGCCAGTTGCACTGTCTCTGATACATCCATCCCGATTACCCCAGTCACTGAATCAGTCCACCTCATAGAGGGCCTTCCCCTTCTGCACTGTCCCTCCACCCTCCCAAGCAGGATGTCCCTCTCCAAGGACCAGTCCCTCCTTACAACTTGTCCAAAGTATGTTAGACAAAGCCTCAGAATCCTTGCCTCCAAGGTGCCGCCCGGTTTAACCCTCTCCAGGATGAATCTGTTTGTTTTCCTAGCAGTCCATGGTAACGTCAATACTCTTGTCCAGCACCACAGTTAAAAGGCATCATTTCTCCTTCTATCCTCCCTAGTCATAGTCCAACTCACAGATACACATAACAAGTGATTGCAAAGACCACAGCCTGAATCAGACACACCTTAGTCTCCAGAGAGACACCACTGCTCTTCAGTACTTTGGAAAGGTCCCTAACAGCAGACTTTCCCATTGCAATATGCCCTTTAATTTCCTGCCAAGAGTGTTGACTGTGGAGCCAAGCAAACTAAAGCTGTGAACAATCTAAATCTCTTCACCATCCATCCTGATGCTGCCAATTGGCTCAGTGGTGAGAATCTTTGTTTTCTTGACATTGAGCCTCAGTCCATATTGAAGACTGCAGTCCTTGACCCTCTGCAGCAAGCGCTTCAGGTCCTCCTCAGTTTCAGCAAGCACGGTTGTGTCATTTGCATATCACAGATAGTTGATAGATCTTCCACCAATCCTGACCCCACATTTCTCCTCATAGAGCCCAGCCTCCTGGATAATCTGTTCTGCATACAGGTTGAAAAGGGATAGAGACAGGACACATCCCTGGCCTACACCCTTCCCAATTTTGAACCATGCAGTGTTTCCTTGCTCTCTTCTGACGAGTGCCTCTTGGTCCAAATACAGGTTTCACATTAGCACGATCAAGTATTCTGGGATTTTTAACCTTTGAAATAGAGCATAATCTCATTTTAGAGATGAACATAACATGCTGAGACAAGATAATATCCAAAAGATATAATTAGTGGCATAGGTTGAATAGTTCTATCCTCAGAACCTATATTCTTTAAGTGTTAGGCTCTATAACCAGAATGACATATGTGTTATTATTTATCTTTTTCTATTTTAGCCCATTGTATCTTTTGCAGTTTAATATGGGATATATTGAAGTCTTCTTACAAAGGTAAGATCATTGAAATAGCACCACAGTTCAACAGTTGTGTTGAAATAGTCCTTGTCAAGATCAGAAGAGACTCCCTTTTCTTTGCCAGACCTAATTAGTTACCTGGTTATTATAGATAAATGAATAAGATTTTTCACAGAGTCTTTTATTTTCAACCTTTAGTTCTTGTCATGTTTATGAAGTTTAATTCCATATTGCAAGAAAGTTGGTAAATCTGAGGAGGAATGGTCCATAAGAAAAGTGATCTATGTTAAATGGACACAATCTATTAATTGTCAAAAAGAAATAAGTATCTAGTCCCCATCCTTTACAATTCAGATTAATTGAAGTGATGCTATTCACTTACAAGTTTTTCATTTAGTGTAATAAAAGGCAAGACTTTTCTCTTTCCAAACACAGATTAACAGGTGTGCATAATCTTCAAGATACAAATTTGCAAAACTATGTGCTTTATTTCTTTGTTAAGGCATATTTATATTATGGGTTAAGATCAGTCAGCACCTTTCAGTAGCATCTTGTAGGAACACTAGTGATAGTTAATCAATCCCATCTCTTCCCAGGTGAAGGAAGATTTGTAACATGGCAAAGCCTCCGCCCACAAGGCATGACTTTCCAAGGGTCTCCTGGCACAAGTAGTTTTTAACTGTCTATTATGTATGTCTTAATGATTTGATATTCTCTTTACTTGGCTTCTATTATTTATACAATAGGAGGACCATATCCATATATATTTGTTCTTGAATCTAAGTTTTATGTTCTTGAGATTTTTAAACTTGTTACATGTTGAGCCATAAAGGAAAAACTTACTCTTTGATTAAAATAAGAGGTTGGAGGTTGAAATAATATATTTACTGTAAATCTTGTATTTAATTTACAATGACTATAAACCCTAAGGAGGGTAAATAATGCTATACATGAAGCATACTGAATTTTTTATAGTGAAAAAGCTGAAGATATTTCACAGAAAAATTGTCTGAATTGTAATTGATTTCTTACTACATGCTGTTGAAGAAGTATTAATTTGATGCCAAGATGCCCCCAAGTGGGCGGATCTTGGTCAGTATTGCATTACTGGCCATTCAAAAGAGAAAGTGGATTAAGATTTTCTTTTTACTAAGTTCTTTATTAGAATTTCTTCTTAATGTATGTCAATAGAATTTCTCCTAATAATACACACACACTCACACACACACATTCTCTCACACACACACACACACACACACACACACACTCTCTCTCTCTCTCCTAAAATGAAGAATTGGCTTACGGCAGTTTGTAAATCATGTTGATAAATTTTAATATTTTCTTTCAGAAAAGAAGAATCTGTTTTCCCTAAAGGATTGGTAAGATCTATTTGTAATAATTACAATTTAAATTGATAGTCATGTCAATAAGCATAATTGTTGCTTCATTATTTATGTCTATATGTATTTCAATCTGTAGGAACTGTTGGAGAATGGATTATTAAGAATAGAAGACAACAGTTTACTTCATCAGTACTTAGAAATTAAGAGTTTTCTTAGTGTACCTCAGGTAATTAAGATATATTTTCTGTTAATTTGAGATTATGTACAGATCTTTTCTGACCTACTTTCTTCTCTATATCTTTTTAAAAATTTAGTACAACGCTGTTTAGTAGGACTATTCTGTGTTGGTGAGAAATTCAACTACAGTTATAGTACAGCAGCCACTATGTGTATTTAACAGTTTTAGTGTAACTGGTTTGATGAACAACTGAATTTTTAACATTTATTTCATTTAAATTAAACTTAGTTATGTATGGATAGCTAGAACAATACTTGATAGAACAGGTTACAATGGAAAAGGATAACTTTCTGCTTTTAACACAGGTTTAGGACATGAGGCAAAAAATGTTCCTCATAATTCAGGTCCCAAAGATTCATTCCATTTGAGGAATGCACTGGTTCATTACAAGAAAGATTAGTAAACATTTTTATCTACTGTGATTTATTTTGGTTGATGCTATTTGTTAGTTAGGATATTCAAGTAGGTCTTTTTCAATGTAGAAAGTAGTTTCCCACTATTTTTTTTATCATGGCTGTACATAGTTGTATTATGGTTTGGTTTATTTTTAAAATTTTATTTTATATTGGTTTGCTTACAAAGTTCATACACATTGTGTTTCTCCAATTCTTCATTCACATTTTATTTTATATAATCATTCTCATGCATTATGTTTTATAAAATTAATCACCATTGGACCTTGGTCATAATTACATTGTCTTTTCAGGTCCCTGCTGGATCTTTTCCATTTCTTTCACCCTCTCCCTCCTCCCACTCAACTGTGCAACCCTGTAGTTTTGCCCTTATTCACCCTTACCCCACTATTCCCACCCTTTCTACCCTTGGGTTACCATACATGTTTTATTTATTATCCTTCTAATTAAAAAAATGGTATTATACAGTATTTTCCTTTAAGAGACTGAATTAGTTCACTCAGGATAATGTTCTCCACTCTCTCCCAAGTTTTGTAGTTGTTTTCAAAATCATTGCACTTGAGTGCCACATAGTATTTCATTGTGTGAATATACCACAATTTCTCAATCCATTCAGTTGTGATTGGACATTTGGGCAGTCTCCATGTTCCTGTGATGGTGAGCAATGCTACTATGAACATCAGAGTACAAACTCCATTTGTGCCTCAGTTCAGATTTCCTTGGGTTTATCTCTAGTAGAATAACTGGGTCATAAGGAGCTTCTGTGTTCAGTTTTTTGAGGAAATGCCAAAATGCCTTCCAGAATGGTTGTACCATTTTAGTCTTACCAACAGGTTATTAGAGTTCCCACCTCTCCACATCCTTTCCAACATTGATTGCTTGCTGTCCTGATAAACTTTGCAACTGCTGCTGGGGTGAGATGGTATCTTATTGTTGCTTTGATTTGCTCCTCTCTTACTGCCAGTGATTTTGAGCATTTCTTCATGTGTCTGTTGGCCATCTAAATGTTTTCCTGTGTGAAAAGTTTTTCCATGTCTTTTGCCTATTTTATAATTGGGTTATCAGCCTTTTTCTTCTAGAGGCCCTACATAGTATTCTGTACACTTTTGTTATGAGACTCCTAAGATGGTATTGCCAAATGTTTGTTCCCAGTTGGTTTTTCTTTTCACCCTGTTGGAAAAACCTATGGGTGAGCACAGAGATTTAATCTTTAGAAAGTCCCATTCATCAGTTTTATCCTCTCCAGATCTTGCATTTCTGGCTGAATTTCTTTTCTGCAAAGGGTATGATTTCTCCTTCATATTTGATGGAGAGTTTTTCTGGGTACAGGATCCTAGGCTGGCAATTGTTTTCTTTCAGCTTTCTGTATATGCCATTGCTAGCATGGTTTCTGCTGAAAAATTAGAACTTAATCTAATTGCTTTTCCTTTATAGGTGACTCTAATTTTTCTCATGCTGCTTTTAGTATTCTTTTTGGAGAATTTGACTATGATATGTCTTGATGGTTTTCTTTTTGGGTCTTGTCTATTTGGTGTTTGCTGTGCTTCTTGAATGTGGATTTCCCCATTCTTCAAAATACCTGGGAACTTTTCTTCTAGTACTTCTTCCACAGTTGTGTCAATGACTTCCTTGTCACTACCATGTTCTGGAATTACAGTCATACATATGTTGGTCTTTTTTATGTCATCCCACATGATTCTAATGGGTTTGGTTTGTTTTGTTTTCTTTATGTCTCATCTCTGGTTTTTCTTCTAGTATATTTCTGTCAAGCTTCTTGTCTTCCAGCTCACTGACTCTCTGGTCCCATTTCTTCAGTTCTAGTTTATTGTTCCACCACTGTGTTGGACACTTATGCCATTTCAATCTTAATATTCTAGATTGCATTCTCATGCTTTTCTGTTATTTGCAATTATGTCTTTGCTGTATCCTGTCTCTCTTGTGATAATTTTTAAAGTTTTTATACTTCTTTTGTACTATCAATTCTTTCTTCCATCTTTTGCATTTTCTTCCACAGTTGTTCACGGTGCTCCACATCAATATACTTCTCTGGAATGTTGCCTCTGAGATATTTGCTTCCATTGTTTCTGCCATCATTTGGACTTTCTTCCATAGTAGTTCAAATAACTCTTCATCAATATCTTGCTTCTAGTTCTCTATCTCTAGGGTATTCCCTTTATTTGTGGTTTTCATTGTTTCTTCCATCATTAGAACTTTCTTTTGAATGTCTTTGTATCAACATATATCATCTGCTTTCTTGACTTTAGTGTATTCGTTGGGTCTGCAATATTCTCTGCTTTTTTTGGAGGTCTAATTTGTTTGACAGTGTTTGAAGCTGCCTGCTGCTTTTCTTGACATTATGTGAAATTTTTCTTGGTAAGTGTTAGGCCATTTATATTGTGTCTGTGTAAGTTGTTGATAGTTATTATTTTTATAATGTTGATGATTAGTTGCTACCTTAAAATGTTTAATCTGTGGGGTGAACCACTCACTCTACTGAAAGTCCTTTCTAGGAAATTTTGCCTTTCCTGAAATCCCTGATGGTTCTCTCTATTCTTCACTGTAGCCGTGTAGGAACGTTGTCTTTATGTAGTGGCCTCCCCCAAACTGTATTGTCCTCCTTCATCTGTGGAATGGCTGAGTGGTATGAGACCAGGTGCTCCATGAGAGTGGTTTCTGTCCAGGAGGATTTCAAGTCAGCACAAGTTACCAGTCGAGAAAGCTGAAAAAGTCTTTCCTCTGCTTACAGGTCATTGTCCCAAAGACTCTTGTCCTGTTTGGCCCAGGGATGATCCCCCAGCCATGAAGGCAAGGATCCCCAAATTGAGGGACTTGGCCCCAGGGAAGTTTGAGTCCCTTTATCTCCCCCAAACACCCAAAAGTGCTGTTTCTGAGAAGGGGTGTCTCACCTGAAGTGCCTTCTCTCCTAAAGTGTAATGTCTTTGTCCCTGGAGTGGCACAAGATTGAGGCTACCAACTTAAGCAGTCTGTTTTCAGGAGGATCTCAAGTCAGCCATCCCTCTTGAAGAAAGCTGAGAAAGTCTTCCCCTGTTTGTGGCTCTGTGTCCCAAACTCTCTTGTCATGTTAAGCCCCTGGGATGTCCCCACAGCTGCAGAGGCAAGGATCCCCAAACGGAGCGACCTTGCCATGGGAACTTTCAGTCCCCCATCTCCCCACAAGCACCCAAAAGTGCTGTTTCTGAGGAGGGGTATTTCATCTGATATGCACTAAAATTTTTTAAAAACAGTTTTATACTAACTTTTATTAGTAGATCTGATTATTTTAAAGGAATGAGTTGTATTATTTTTAACTAGCATAACTGAAAATTATCACTATTTCACACTTTTTAACACACTACTTATCACAAAATTGATTACACTTCACTTTCTATAGATAGTGGAATAAGTGGCTCAAGGGAAAATTATTTTAACTTTTAAATTTCTTACCTTTAGTTCTCCAAATTTTTAATATCTATTTTTTAATATAGTTGTTTGCATCAATACAGTTTATTAATATCTGCATTTTAAATTGTTTATTTCTAGGACTTAGTGAAAATAATGACACTTTGTCCCATTGAGACATTGGTATGTAAATATTTTTGAACAAAATAATTACACTGAGAAATTTGCTAGTTTAATGTTTATTCATTTTATGTAATATTTTCATTTTAGAGGAAAAAAGGATTAGCTATGCTGCAGCTGTATATTAACAAGTTGGATTCACAAGGCAAATATACATTATTTAGGTATGTATCAGCATAGTTAATTGCTAAGTATGTGGTTAATTAAAAACCAAATTAATGCTATGTAATGTTTACAGAGTGTAGTATTTCATTATAATTTGCCTCTAACATAAGTAACTCTGGTGGCCTAGTGTTAAGAAACTGCAGTGCAATCCCAAAAGCATGTAGTTCAAATCGACCTCCACCACAGGTGAAGGATCTTATTTTCAGAAGTAGATCACTTAGCCTTTTTTGCAAGATAAACTCTAGGTGAATTAAACAGCTAGCCTCTTGGTTAGAAGCCAAGTAAGTTAATAATTTGCAAAACTGGGGATTCCACAACACTAATTGGAAATTTTATTAGAATAATTTCTCTTTTGTGATAGAAAAGAGTCAGTCAAATGTTAGATATATCATGAATAATGGAATATATTTTGTTTCAACTAATTGAAATACTCTGAAATGGAAAGAATTTCTTTAGTGTTTTTTCTACATACCCATTTAATCTGTGTGCTCAGCAAATTATTTGAGAAGCTATACTCTATGAATAAGAATGTGGCATCAGGTCTGGAGGGAGACTCATCCTCAGCCTGTGTTATATATAGGACACACCTTGCTCATTCAAAGTGAGGAGGACTTGAAGCATTTGCTGTAGACGATCACAGACAGAATACAGCCTTCAATACAAATTGTATCTCATTGCCAAGAAAACAAAATTTGTCACCACTGGACCTATAGGCAACATCCTGATAGATGGAAGAAAGATTGAAACTGTCAATGACTTTCATCTTACTTGGATCCATAATCAGTACACTTGGTATCATCAGTCAGAAGATCAGTAGATGTACTGCACTGGGAAAGTCTGCAGTTAAGGACCTCTCCATATTATTGAGGAGGAATGAGGCCATGGTTTTTCAATCACTTGCTATCCATCTAAGAGCTGAACACTTGAATAAGGATGACAGAGAATAATTGTCTCTGAATTGTGGTGTTAGAGTACTGTATATCTCATGAACTTAAAAGAACAGATAGGTCTTGGAGAAGGTGCAGCCACAGTACTCCTTGGAGGCAAAGATGATAAAGCTTCATCTCACATATCTTGGGCCTGTTGCTAGAGGCTTTTCCTTGGAGAGGGATATCATGCTTGGGAAGATGAAGGGATGGCAAAAAAGAGGAAGACCCTTAAGCAAGTGGTTTATCACAAAGTGATTGCAGCAGTGGGCTCCAGTGGTTAGAGATTGTAAGGAAGGCACAGGATTGGACAGGGTGCAGATCTGTTCTTCATAGGGTCACTGTGAGTTGTACTCTACTCACAGCCCTTAACAACAATTAAATTAGCCTTGAAAGATTAAACAGAATGAAAAGGTACCTTCTAGGATAGTGTATATTTCAATAATTTCCATTTATTCACAGTTCAAATTAATGACACTGGAGTCATAACTGGCAGTATAAGTTAATTGAATACAAATTAATAGCAGAGATGTTAATAGCTATTAACTAATAGTGTTACTGGAGGGGAGAAGTATCCTAACTTTCTTTTTGAGGTTGGCAAACTTTCTGTAAGGGCCAGATAATAGAAGCTTTATACATCATATAGTCTCTGTTGTATTTCAACTTTATAGCAAAAGTTTTTGTAGAAAATATTTTTAAATCACTGGGAGTGAGAGTGTTCTAATAAAATTTTATTTCTAAAAATGAGCAACAGGCTATATTTGGCCTGCAGGCCTTAAACTTTTGACCTCGTTCTAGGCAAAATAAAAATTAATTCAATAGTTATTGTTATGAGTCAGCTACTGCCCATAGCACCCTGTGCGTAATATCTGTGAACGCTGCTCTATCCTGAGCCAATCTCACTATCTCTGACACACCTACCATCAGTTACTCTAGTTGCTGGAGTAATCCATCTCATCTGGGGTCTTCCTCTCCTGTGATGTTCCTTGACCCTTCCAAGCATGGTATCTCATCCATAAATTGGTCCCTCCTGGCTATAAGCCCAAAAGTCTACTTTGGGATAACTGAATATTCGTACTTTTTATCCTGTCCTTTCTTCATTTCAATTGACAGATTTAGAATAGGTTTATGAAACCTCAGTTTGATAGTTGGGTTTATAACAGTTTTTTGTTCTGCTATATTTGGATCCCCTTAATAAAATCCTTTCACATTTCCTTTCTTTGCTATAAAACTTAACCAATACTAGTCTACTTTGAAAGGGAATAATTTGGGAATATATTTTTTTTTCCTGTAATAGTATTTTTTTATTGAGATTTTGCTTTTTTTCTTTGGGGAAAAAAGTTCTTTCATTGTTATATAGGTTCCCCCCCCCCAACTTTCCTATGCAGCTCTTACTCTGTACTCTTGTCATGCCAATAATGCCTAATCATATATTCCTTTTTTATAGTTCTCTCCCTCATCTGTTTCAATGCCATGTACATTATCTATCCCCTTTTCTTAGTTTTACCCTGACCCCCATGTCAGTCCTGTTTTATACGTGTGGCACTGTGCAATATTTATCCTTTTTTGACTGAGATATTTCATTCAGCATAATGTCCTCCATGGTCACCCATTTTGTATAATATTTCAAGAGTTCTTCGTTTTTCAGTGCTGCATAATATTCCATTGTGTGAATATACCACAGCTTCTCTATTTGTTTGTTGACGGGCACTTGGGTTGTTTCCAACTCTTTGCTATTATGAACAAAGCCGCAGTAAACATGGGTGTGCATATCTACTTGGGTAACAGTTATAGTTTCTTTAGGGTATATTCCAAGTAGTGGAATTGCTGGGTCAAGTGGTATTGCTATTTCCAATTTTTTGAGAGTGTGCCATACAGCCTTCCATAGTGGTTGCACCATTTTACACTCCCACCAACAGTGAATAAGGGTTCTGGTTTCTCCACAACCTTGCCAGCATTTGTTGTTTGCAGTTCTGTTGAATTTTGCTTATCTTACTGGGGTGAGATGATATCGCATAGCTATTTTGTAATTTGGGGATATTTTAGGCCATTTTATGCTGTGACTGAATTGTCATACTGCATGGGATAATTTAAAATCTATTATGATTTTGCTTTCAAGGTGCTTATTGAATACAAGTAATCATTCAGGAGTAGAGGCCTTTATTATTCAAAATATCAAAAATCAAATTGATTTGACATTAAAGGTAAGAAAGAACATGCCAAGACACCAATTATCAATGTCTTTCTTTTGTAGTGTATGTTTATTCACTTGTGGAAAACACTAATGTGAATTTTTGCCATACAGACTTTTCTGTTTCTGATATTAGAGTATCTTTTTCTTTACTTACATTAAAATTTAGTCCTTTTTAAAACTCTGAATTTTTAAGTTTTGTTAGCTATAACTGTAAAAGGTATTAATTCTTTGAGCTGGTAAACTATCTTTCAGTTTTGTTACATGTTTCTAAACAATTTAAATAAATCCAGTATACATGTGAATACTTAGTAATCCCACATAGAAAATAGTACCAGTATTCCAAATTGGCAGTTTGTCCCATGTATCTAGAAATAGCAATGAAAGATTAGAAGTTAAAAGTACTTTTTTTAAAAAAGTTGTTGCTATGTGCCATCGAGTCACCTGTGACTCATAACGACCCTATGTACAACAGCCCTAAACCCTGCTCTATCCTGTGCCAATTGCACTGTCTCTGAGACATCTACCCCCCCATTACCCTAGTCACTGAATCAATCCATCTCATCAAGGGTTTTCCTCTCCTGTGCTGTACCTCCACCATCCCAAGCATGACATCCCTCTCCAAGGACTGGTCCCTCCTTGCAGCATTTATCTATTGTAAATGCATTCATTGTTTTTGGGATTTTTTTTGTGGTAACAAGGGTTATTCAAAACTTTATGTAAAACCTTTGCTAATGTTCCCTCTACTTTTTAGGGAGTACATTATAACAAATGGTTTATGGGACCACAGTTGGTTTCCCTTCTTGACTTAGTACTCATTCTCCCAGAGGGTGCTGAAACAGATCTACTACAAAACTCAGACAGGTGAGGTGGTCACTACTAAGCTTAAATAAGTATATTGGTTTGAAATAAATGTAAAACTTATATATTGGAAATCTAAGCCAATAAAAGATACATTTCTGTAATGTTAAGACCTAGGGCATAATTTACAAAATTATAAAATATTTTCATATTTTAGCATATAAATAATGGGTAAAATCAACTCCAAAAATATTCTTTCCAGAAGAGTAACGTTTGGCATACCTAGCATTCCATTATAGTACAGAAAAACTTGTGATAAAACATGTGTAATGGAAAATTAAGAATTTTATGTATATAAATTTTAAAGGGCAATGTGTTTGGGGTTTGTTACTTTGTTTTTCCATGGCATTGACCATGCTTCATGCCCCCATAAAGCATGCCATTTCTTTCAGTATACTGTAGTGAATGATTTTAAGCCCTTATAAAAGGAATTCTTATCAAAGATAATACCCTCAAATCTAAAACATGAAGGCTCTTTTGGTAAAATAAATAAATATTAATCATTTCACAACTGTATTTTATTAACTTAAATGGAAAACATGAGTAATAAGTTATTGCTACTCCAAAAAATCTGCTAAAGAAAACAACTGGTATTGGCAAACCTAAGTCTGAAACTATACCCAAGACTTAAAGCTAGTGCTTTTTATTGTGTAATGCTGTAATAAAAGTAATAAATTATTTTTTATATGCTCTGTTTTTTAATTAATAGGATTATGGCTTCATTAAACCTCCTGAGGTATTTGATAATCAAAGATAATGAAAATGACAATCAAGTAAGTAAATTACTGGAGGACAAAAACCTCACAGTATATTTAAAATGCATAAGAAATGTTTCTGTTTTCTTTATCAAAACTTACTTATGCCAGTATTTCATATTGGACACTGCTACAAAAGCTAGAAAATACCACTGATTATTCTATAATCTAAAAGTAATTCTCAAGACTGTTTCACATCACTTCACCTTCCTTCTTTACTCCTCTTAATGGCTTAGGCCTGTTGGAGCAAATAAGTTTTGGCCCCATGTTAACACGTTGCTGCAAATGACGACAAATATGTTTCTAAGCACGGTTGTCAATTTAAAAGTGTGCGGCAATGTGTTAACTAATCGTTTGGAGCTCAACAAGTATTTGGACGTCTTGTTCATCTGACTTAACCTGTAGCTCATAATTTATACATCTGCGACCTCTATATGATCTAAAAATCATCTGATATTTTCGTATTACTTTATCAGACCTGACCAATTAAAGTACTTCAGCACTCAAACTGAATTTGTTAACACCTTTGGATAAATGTGTAGGAAGCTGGATTTTTTAAATAATAGCACATCATTAGTACTCAATAAATAGAAAACTATTTGAGGGAGATTTGTCATACGGTAAAATGATATTTGCTTTTTATCATCTCTCCTTCTACCTACCCTGTTCTAATAGATGCATTCTCTATGTGTGTCACCTTGTTAACTATCTGACTCACAAGATGTTTTTAGTCTGGCTATTTTTAGAAAAGAATAAAAGCAACTATTTCATTTTTATAGGAAAAAAGAAACCAGTGTATTTTTGTTCTTAATATTTATGGAAAACATGCTGCTCTACTGTTTTGATAGACCTAATAGATTCAGTTATTTGACCTCCTGCTCATCTTTCTTGAGCCAAAATATTTTTGCTAGCATTTAATTAAGAAGCATTGACTAGGGAGTTCTAGTGGCCTAGTCCGTGGGGATGTGCACTGCTAAGCCATAGGCCACACCCCTCTAGCTGTTAAAGACCATTAGCAGGTCTGATGAAGAAAGATGAACAATTCTTCCACTGTGATTTATAGCTTTGGAAATAAAACAGGGTCACTTTTAAGTTGGTTCCAGTTCAACTGCTGTGAATGAGTGAGCATTAACTATTGCTTACTCTGTGCCACACATACTTTAGTGTCAAAATTTTCAAGCATACATCAGAGAATTGTGCAGTGACCACCTGTTTACCGACTATGTTCTACCATTAACATTTTACTCTACTTGCTTTATCACATACCCATCTCTACCTTCTATCCATACATCCATCTTCTAAGTATACTCCAAGTAACTTATCAACTGCTATGTACTTAACTCCAACTAATGGTGACTCTATATTTATCAGAGTAGGGCTGTGCTCTAGAATGTTTTCTTTTTCTTTTTTAATAACTGGAGTGATGGGGGTTGACACTGGCTCAGGACGGAAGGATTCAGAACTATTGTACATAGAGTCACTATGCATCACAGATGACTCAACCAATAACATTCTATGACAGGTTTGAAAGCAAGAGTGGCATCCACTTCTAAACAACTTGTCTCCAGAAACTGTATGAACTTTGATAAATGTCAGTAGTTGTAGAGGGGCTTTCACAAAAGCGTTTGTTCAGAGGGTCACTATGAGTTGTGCTCGACTTGAATGAAATTAACAACAACATCCATTTTTGGTTTCATGGCAAACGGGAAGCAGGTATTCATGCAGATAATTAGCCATACATTTCATCTGCTTCTCCTACATGTGGCTATACACATGGATCAAACATGATTTGAGTGCCATCTGTAGAATGAACAGTATCAGCAGTCAAGACCAGTGGCTGACTGGAACAGACCAACAGTTATTCATATGCAAGTTCAAATTAAGACTGAAGAAAATGAAAACAGGTTCACAAAGTCAGAATATGATGTTGAGTTTATCCCACCTGAATTTAAAAACCATCTCACAAATGAGATTTTTAGTGTTAAGATGCACTTAATATTAGTGACTAAAAATCAGATGAGTTGCAGGATAACATCAAGAACATCCAGGAAGAAATCAAAGGTCATTAGAAGACACTAACTTGCAAAAGAATATAGGAGTCATGTATAATTGCAGTTTCCTTTTTTAAAAATAAGTATTTTTGATGAATAAAATCATTTTTTAATATTCTATCATGCAATCTTCAGCCTGGAGTTCTGTCACTTAGGCCATATTTTCCAGCCACCAATTACCAATGCATCTTGATTGCATGTTCAATTTCAGACTATAAAAATTAATAGAAATCCTCAATTTCTTAATCTTTAGTGGTTTAGTGCATATATTTATTTAAATAATAGTCGTATTAACAGATCTTCCTTATAAGTTTATGTCACAGCATTGTATTTCAGGATAGATCTTGAACTTTTTTTTTTTAACTATGAAGGTGGCAGCACTGTTACTCATTTTTTCATTCTCAGCAGAATCGTATATTTGTCTGAGTAAAAATTGCAAATAGCAGTCTATCTCAGCTAACTAATACCTAGGAAGTTTATCTTTATACATTTTATTTCATTTTTGACAAATTCCAACTTTCCTAGATTCCTCCTTCCATCCCATTCTTCAAGTACTAATAAGTGCTTGTTGCCGTTTCTTCTCATTTTGGGTCTTGCCACATAAGCAAATGAAGGTGCTCCACCTGCCTCTTTAAGGTACACTCTACTTTGAGGAGGCAGCTCTTCCCCAGTTGTGTTCTAGCACTATATCTAACACTAATCTTTTGTTATTTATAACATCATTCCTATGCTCTTATTTAATGGTTTTAACATCAAAACTGGAAGACCTATCACCTATATACCCACTAGCTAGATTCTATAATTAATATATTACCCAGTTTTCTTTACCGTGTATCCATCACTCCACTCTCAACATGTGTTTGATAAATATACCATAGCCTTTTTTCAGTTGTTAGGTGCTGCCAAGTTGAGTACTTGACTAATAGTGATACTATGAACAAAGATCTGAACCCTGTCCTGTCATGTGCTGTCTTCATCTCTGACACATCTGAGCCTGTCTCTGCAGTCAGTTTCATTCTATCTCATTGAAGATCTTCCTTTCTTCGCTTACCCTCCACCTTCCCAAGCATAATGTCCCCTTTCCAAGTAATAGCCTCTCTTAGCAACATGCCCAAAATATATGAGATGAAGCTTTGCCATCTTTGTCTCAAAGGAGCACTCTTGACTGCACTTTTTCCAAAACAGATGCTTGTTCTTTTGGCAGTCCATGGGATATTCAGTAGTCTTCTCTAGCACCACAATTCAAAGTCATCAGTTCTTCTGTCACCCTTATTCATTCTCTAGCTCTCAGAAGCATTGCAAGCCAATGAAAAGACTGTCCTGAATCAGGCACACCTTAGTCTTCAAACTCTTATCACTGCTCTTCAGTAATTTGGAGAGGTTCCTGATAGCAGACTTGGGTTTCTTGAAATAATTAGATGTTGATTTCAGCTGCAGTGGTTTTTCTACTACATAACCCACAGTTGTTTTATCCTTTCCTTTCTGTTCTCTCTGCTTTACTCTTTTCTTGTCACCTTGCTTACCTATTCTTTTATAAATAATTTGTGATTGAAATATGTATAAGAAAGTCAAGGGAAGTAACACAAGAATACAGCTACCTCCTGGAGGCTGCTGATAAAGTTTTGGGTTTAAATCCACCAATGCCTCCTCAGGAGAAAGATCAGTAGGGTTTTTCCCCATTCACTTTACAGCTTCTATAACCCATGAAGAAGCCAGTTCCAGACAGACAGCAATGTGTGGATGAGTGAAGTTAGTTTTATAATTTTCTTTTGCTTCTTTACATTCTAGAGCACATTTCAGAGTCTCTTGTGACATCCATTTTGGTCTTTTATGTCTGTCTTTTTAATGACATTTTGCTTTCTTCATGCATGATGTCCTTGGTTTCATCTCACAACATGTTTGGTGTTTGGTCACTGCAATTCAAGCTGTCCTAGGCAGGTAAAATCTCCTTTTACACTGGGCATCAAAAGCCATACCAAATCAAACTCAACACACTGCAATGGAGTTGATTCTGACTCCTACTCATAATGACCCGATAGTTTCTAAGGCTGAATTTAAAAAAAAAACAACAACACAAATGAATTGCTTTTATTTCGGTATGCATCCACATTTCAGCATTTAGTGGTCCTGAACACAAAGATGGAAAAAACACAGGAATTTGCCAGGAGGTCCAACCCACCAATTTCGGGATCTGCGCACACCGAGTTCTTTCTGACACCCTGCTCAGGATCGTGAATAGCAGCACCAAACTGATGTGTGCACTGGCTTCCAGGTTCCTGTTCTGCTCTAGTTGTCAGACTCCAAGCCAGACCCCATGGATTGCAAGGGTGACTGAATGAGAGTCCTGTCTGTTTAAAACTTCTTCCAGTTTAAAAGCAAAAGCAATTACAGGAAAAGAAAACATTCAGAGGGATCGTATGTGCTTACAGGTGTCTTCATGTGAACTTTCTCCAAGCTTAACCACCAAGGATTTTGAGAGCTGGCAGGTCTGAGTAATCCTGGTGACCATTCTTGCCACCGTATCAAAACCTGAGCTGAAACAATGCATCAGCTGATGAGAGCAGAGGGTGGCAGGTGTTTGTCTCCAAGGCTGGTGGAGAGGAAATCAGTGTGGTTAGAAAACTAGACGAGGGAGCTCAAAGGCTCTTTCCAACCTTTCTTGATGACTTCTGGCCAAAGCAAGAAGTGTCATGGGAAAAGTGGGGTGTGATGGTGCAGGAAGGGGCTCTGGGAGGAAGAAAGCAGCAGCAGCACCCCTCGATCCAGTGGGGGAAAAGAAGATGTGGGGAGAGCCCTGAATTCCTCACCAAAGGCCACTTTTAGAGGGGAGCAGAGGGGATTACAATCTGTTCTTCAGCCAGGGGTGGAAGTAGAGGATAGAGGGGAAGGATGTCTTTGAATGGGGGCACCATTCGAGACTTATGCACCCAGTAGTCCCATAGGCTGTGACCCCAAACTTTTAAATCTATTCTAAGAAGCCTCCCCGAGCTGGAGGGCTGATGCAGGGAGAGGGGGCTGGAGGCAGGGGAGGGGGAACAGGAGAAGGCAGAGACCCCAGGCCATGTATCAGTAGCAAGGTAATTGTGTGACGTGTCTCTTCACAGTTGTTACATGTGCCCCACCACTTATGATGGTAAATAGATTTAAATACACTTTCTTGATCCCAGGAGTTCAACTACATGGACAGTGGTTACTCTTGACAGGATGATTTGTTAAGAGCACAACTCAGGTATTTCAAATGGTCAAAAATTAGCATCATTTATAGTATCTTAAGAGAAATTGCCCTTAAACGGGAGCGTCCTTTCCGGTACTTCTGAGGCCTACAAGACATACCTAGAAAACTGACTGCTGTGGAAAATGAAGACTGCTTACATCAAACGGGGGAGGGGGAGGGCCTCTGGGCTTCCTTTCTGATTAACTGCTATAACACTGTCCTTCTGGAAGTTGAGGGAGTTTCATATTTTCTTTAGACATCATTAGGTGCTGAAGCCCCTGCAGGACTACGTTGATGCTATAGGAATTCTGCCACTTTGCTAGCATGGAGATGGCTCGTGGGTCCACCACTCCATTAGAACTATTAACTCCATTCATACTAATTTTTGTTACAAATCTTACAAAGGGGGTGCTTCTGGGTATTTAGGTCCACATTCTATTTTAAGGCTGTATATCCAGTTTTCATAAATTGTTCTTGGAGGCCCAATTATTATCCCTGTTCATCTTGTAAGTGCCATGTCTTCGTCATCTAGACCCCGGCTAACTGTGCCATCTCCTACTCCTTTCTGGCCTTCTTCCAGTTCTTCCAACAGTCAAAAATTGCAAGGGACTTTTACTCCCGATCCCGTGGTGGCTGCCATCTTGCTTCGCTGTCGCTCAAGGCTGAAATTTTTATGGACGCAGACTGCCACATCTTTATTCCAGAGTTACTACTGGGTTTGAACAACAATCTATTCTTTAGTTCTGTGCCACCAGGGATTCTTTGCATTATGTACCAAAGTATTCCAGATTAGCTTCCACCGGTAGGGAACAAAATCCTCTACACTGATGGCAAAACTTATCAATTCACAGGTCAGTGCTTGAAGGGATTCATAAGATAAAGTCATTGTGAGGATAGAGGAAGAGCAGTTTTTTAGACTGGATTATTCTTAAATAACTTTTAAGACCTTCTAAGTTACAGATCTCAGAACCAGAGCTTCCCAAATAGTAACAGTAATAAGTGTACTGCCCTTAGCACATTTTTTGTTTGCTTGGTAGTCACATAACTAGATACAATTATAAATGTATTATGAAACTGTATACACTATATTGGGGTCTTTGAAAGCCAAATTCATTTTTATTTCTCTGGCTCTAAATATGCTTAGCATGTTAGGAGCCATTGGTGGATTTTAACCTGAAGCCTAACAGCAGCCTGTTAAGTCTTCTTGTGTTAATTCCCTTGACTTTATTTATATATATTTCAATCACAAATTATTTACAAAAGAATAGGTAAGCAAGGTGATAGGAAAGAGTAAGAGCAGAGAGTAAAGGATTAAACTGACTGTGGGTGATGTAGTTAAATCAAATAACTAATTCTTTCATTAATTCTTCTGAACAGACTGGATTATGGACAGAACTTGGAAAGATTGAAAATAATTTCTTAAAGCCACTTCATATGGGACTTAATATGTCAAAAGCACATTATGAAGCAGAAATTAAGAACAGCCAAGAAAATAGCCACGGTTGGTAATATATAATTTCATTTTCAGTTAGGTCTAAAAGTTACCCAAATTTTGGAACTGTCATATTTATACTCAACTTTTTTTATCTTACAATTTAATGTGACCAAATGAAAGTGACAGTTACTAATTTTTTACAATGAAAATGATTCTAAGATCGTCAAGCCCGTTAACACTGATGTTAGGTTAACAAAGATTGCGTAAAAGCATATTCTTATCTAAAGCTTCACATTCTGATTAAGATATGACTATAAGTACTTATGTTTAGGTAACATTGTATTTCCTCTGGTTTTGCTGGCCCTATCCCCTAACTCACTTCTGATTAATATGTAAAAATGAAAAGGAAATTAGGTCCAGAATGACTGGATCGGAATTAAATCAGCAGTTTTATTTTTTTCTCAGTCACTCCCATGTGGATATGATAGTATTTCTGTAACCATCAGTAGAAATTCTGTTGCTGGGTTGGTTTTGTTGGGTTTTTTTATGGGGGTGGTTTTTGTTTGTTTTTTAGTGTTTTGTGTCTATACGAACTGATATACTGATAAATCAAATGCTACTCAGCTAAGGAAACATTTACATGTTTTATTTCTTTTTTAATGCTTATGTTTTATGATAAAGTAGCATATTAACTTATTGTTGAACTCAGAGTTTAGATAGATATGACATTAGTTTTTTCTTTTCTTACAGATGTCCAGAAGCCTAAAGATATTTGTTCTGTAACGGTATGTGGAGAGGAGATCCCCAATATGCCTCCAGAAATGCAGCTTAAGGTAAACTGGAGTTTTACTGAGATGTTCATCTCGTAGTACTCTTTTCTCTGTGTTGCTTTGTTTGGTTTTAAAAGCAGCATTAATATTGCTGATTTTTCTTGACATTGTAGGTTCTACATTCAGCCCTCTTTACATTTGATTTGATTGAAAGTGTTCTGGCTCGAGTAGAAGAACTTATTGAAATAAAAACAAAGTCTACCTCCGAAGAAAATATTGGGATAAAGTGAAGGTTCCACCTCCCACAGGGAACCAGTGAAATAACTATGTTTTCTATTATGTATTTAACAGCTTTACAAAACCTTTCTGTAAACACTGCTGCTAGAAAAAGAAATGTAGCTTTTCTCTTTTATAAATTTGCTTAATAATACATGGATTAGTAGTATTTTTTCTTAAAGTTATCTATGTGGTAAATTGTTCCCTGATATGCATTTAAATACTACTTTAATAAATCAGTGCAAACTAATGATTTGTATTATAATTTTATAAAATACAGTTGAATTACTTTTATTCATTCATGTGGACATGGTGTTTATAAAAATATTGATACACTTTATGCTCCTAAGAGATGTCATGTTATTATTTTAGAACTCCCAGTGTCAAACTGGGCATGAGACCTACTATAAACAGAGCCAAGAATGTTTTGAGTTCAGGGTAGCTAACTGCTTCTTTTTGACTCCCTCTATTTTCTAGTTTCAGAAAAGTCTCAAGGGTCTCATCACTCTTTCTTCTATCAGGAGCTACACTGTGCAAACATGTTCAAAGATTAAAAATATATACTTTCCTTATGGAAGATTTTAAAGAGGCTTTCATTTAGTCTTCGGGGTAATTAGGAAATTCTGGTGGCCTACTTGGTAAAATATTGCACTGCCAACTCTTAAGACATAGGGTTCAAATCCACCACTGCTCAGTGGGGAAAGGGGAGCAGTCTCCTCCCATGTGATTTATAGCCTCTGAAAGCCCACTGGAGGATCAGCTATGAGTCACTTCTACTCGATGGCATGTAACAAAATGACACTAATTAGAAAATTCTGTATTTTTCAATTGTAGTCAGTATTTGTCCACCCAGTTTCCTTTATATTAATAAGAAACCCCATCTGAGTTTTAGAATATATATATAC